GGCCGATGTAGAGGATAGAGACTGCTGCATCATCTTTTGTTGAAGCTCATCTGTCTTCAATGCACTCACCACCTCATTGTAGGTTATGGTACTTCTATCTCAATGTAGAAGTACTTGAGATAGATTCTTGTATAAAGGAGGTAGTGAACTCAAGAGGTGTAGAGCCTTCCTCTCGTCACTTAACTCCTCACCAAGGTTTTGTAAATCCAACACAAGATCATTGAAAGCATCAATGTGATCTTGTACCTTGGTATTACCATCCTTCATCTTGAAACTTATTAGCTTCAAAGATGTGTAGAGCCGATTGGACAACTCTTTTTGATGGTACTTCCGCTGGAGAGACTCAAACAACGACAAACAATTCCCATACTCTTCAATCTGCCGTATCACATGGGGTTTTGGATAGAGCATGACTGTATTTACCGCCATCTCTTGCATATCGTTCCAGTCTTCTCCAGGCACGTCTTCCGGCTTCATCTTCAAAAGCTTACAAAACTAGTAGCTTTCAACATGCCCTTCACTTGTCGTTCCCACAGCAAGTAGTCCGTACGTTCATCATACTTGGCAATCTCAAACTTGGTGCCACCGACCTTTATTGTCCCCATGATGCCTCGCTTGGTCTCTTGACCTTCCTACAGTGCTATTTCAATGCCAATATGGTTCTTTGAACTATCTTCCCCTTGGTATATACGATATAATTTGGAAATTTACCCTCAAGAATGAACTCCAAGAGAAATTTCAGAACCACTTGAACATAGCTCACAAGATAACCTTTTCGAAACTTTAAACAACTTGCAAAACCGACCTCCAAGTGAAAACTTATTTACCGTCAAAGTTGGGGGGGTCAAAACTGCCAAAAAGTAATTTTCTCCCCCGTTTTGAACTCCCCGGAGAATCTTGAAAGTGGAAATAATTTTCTCCAAGGACCTTCAAAGATGGCTAGAACGTGCACGTAGCTAACTTCGTCACAAATGCGCACAAAAAAGTTTGGAAAAAAACGGTCACCTTTTGCCCCTCCAAATCCATCGTCAATGGCAAGAATATGACGTTCTGTTTTAGAATCTTTTTGAAAGATTCCGTGACAGGGGGCATAAGGCCCTGTCGCACAAAGAGACATACCCTGTCACAGGGCCCAGACAGAGCCAGGGTCAAAATTTGGAAATTTTCCCGAATTTAGGGTTTATGGATTACAAGTGAAAATAAAACGAAGTGAAAAAGGGGGGATCTACTTTTCTCCAAAGTAAAAAGTTTAGGGTTTTCTCACTTATGTAGCCAAATTTTCATCTTGTCACTATGACAGGCCTGTTAGGGATTTCAGGCCCGTCAGAAAGGTACCTAGACTCGCATCTCGATCCTCCGTTCGCCCTAGACTGCAATTTCGGTTGCAAATTGATCGCGTCGGCTCGATGTATCCGTTGCTCTACTTTTCGTCCCGCTTTTCCTCACCAAACAAACGTCACAACAAAAAATGAGTTTGAGATCGTACCTAAATGTCCATAGCCGGCGGAAACTTCAGAATTCGTTTTTGGCTTGTAACTTTCCACCCGCAAGTCAAAACTTGACAAATCTTGCGCCAATGCGACCGGCTTGCCTTGATCTACGTTTCGCACACAACCTTGCAGGTTCACACACACTGTGACTCCTCCGAAATAAAAAAATTAATTTTGGAAATTTTACAGAAAAAACCATCAGTAAAATCTTAAAACATTTGACCATGAAACCGTCGAAAAAACCCTAATCTCAATTACTCCGTGCTCCGAGCTCCGATCGATCTTGTTCAGGTACCGTTAGAACGCTCTAGACCTAAGCTCTCCGATTATCCAAGATTTTCCCACATCCGCGCGACGAAACTCCGAGAAAATCTCAAATCGTCAACTAACTGCTCGCACGAGCACTCACAAACCTGTCACCTCCCAGTTGAGCTCTGATACCATTTGAAGTCAACCAAGAAATAACGTGGTTCACATACACTGAGGATACGTCCACGGGATCAATCAGAACTTCACTAAGACTCTAAGTCATAGCCGTACCGAGTATCTGCTCTTCAAGCTCTATCGTTCTTCCTAAAGCACTCATACACAACGAGTGTTCTATCTCTCTCCTAGTGAGCTCACACAAGCTCACCTATATAGCAAGCAGTACTAACCTAAGCTAGTCTTTGACTAAGGTTAATCTAACTAGAGTTAGCCAAGATCTAAGAGTTATCCTAACAAGAGGGACGAAGTAGGAAGGAACGAATAAGAGTGAAACCTTTGGTACTTATTGAGACGAAACCTCTACTTGGAAGATAAAGGTTGACAAAGGATCCAGCGAGAGCTGAACCTCCGACCGAAAAGCTTGTCGATCAATTCACTCATTCATTCAATTAGCTGCACAGCCAGCAAGAAGGGCAAACATTTTCTTCGCGGTTATATATTTTGAAACTTATCACGGGGTGCACATTGGGAGCTTTTTGAAGGCGTCACTACGACTGCAACGAGCGACCTTTGCGCATGCTCGATGATATGAGCTGAATATCATATGAAACCAAATTGTGCACGTCAATTCAGTCAGTCAACACCTTATTTCTCATCTCCCTCCCTCCTCAACTCTGTTTGCTCACACATACATTTCCCGCCCCGCCCCAGTGCAGTCAGGCCAGCCCATCACATTGCCGTGATCCACATTCAGGCTAGCGGCAGTCGCAACAGCAATCATTAGGTCAGATCAGACTAGTAGAAGGACAAACCAAGCCTAGTTGAGCTATTGTGAGGGCTTGAGATGCCGACGGGTTGCAGATAGTTCACGGCAGTGGGGTATAGTGGACATCATAGTTTGTTTGCGAGGATGCCAGCCATGGTAGAAGAGCCATAAATTGAATCCATTGGCACCTATAACCTTGGATCAATTTTGGTCTATCGTATATTAGCGTGAGGTATGATTAGCCCAAAGTGAGGGATAACTAGCGCCTATCAATGAAAAATGTTGAGTGATTATTGAACTTTTGAACGTTTAAAGTGTGAAACATTTTTACATAACAATATTTTATATCAAAATCATCTTTATAGTTTATGACATGAATCATAAAATTATATTTGATATTTCATATAATTAAATTTATATTGCAATATTCAAAATTGAACTTTCAAATCTTTTTTTTTCATTGTAGATTAACTCTTCATATAAAAATTGTAAAAGAAAAAAAATGACTCATGAATTTGTATGTAAATATGTATGTAGATTTAAGTGTGTATGTACAGAAGGGATAGCAAATCATCATTGTGTTTGCAAGAAACTTATTCCAATTATAATTTAGAAATGAATTGTTAAACTTCATAGAAATTTATAAAACTAAGTCATTTTATTAATTACTCTGTTACGAAATTAATGCTTAGATATTAGTATATTCATGGGTATTGGATTTCAGTATCATTGACTTATTTTTAATATTTAATTATTTTTTACAATTTTTAGTTTATTTAATTATGTGTATATCAAATTAAAAACTATAAATAATAATTTTCAATTAAATATTGTGTGACGTATTTTGTTGTGTATATTTTCATGAGTTTAATCAAGTTTTATTCTTTGATGAGAATTTCTATAGCTATTTATAAAATCTGTCTAATCTGTCTTCTATTTATAAAATTCAATCGTTATTTTCATAACATGATAAAAAATTTCATTTTAGGAAGTTTCAAAATTATACTCTTCTCTTGAATAACATCAGGTTGATTTGTTTCCTTACATATGTAATGATTGCAGCAAATTGTAGATTTTGTAATTAGAAATGAGATGTATTTAAACAAATCAGAGCTAATGATCGACATATAAATAAATCTCCGTGAAATTTCTATATGCACATACGAGTACGATAGTGGTATAATGATACACATGTCTACAATATTGTTGACACCATAAAAAATAAACAAAAAGCAATTTCTCTATTGAAACTATGCATAAAGATGATAAAATTTGGCAATGTAGGAAATTTATTGCATTTTTATAATTATACTCAGTATTTAAGAAAGATAGTTAGTATTCTTGATCAAAATAGGTAAAGAAAGTCAAATTTGCTTTCTTAAATTTTTTTTATTTCAGAAAAAAAAACATATTATATACATGCTTAATTTATTATTGTTAAAAAGGCCAAATATGAAGGATTTCATCTGTTATGTGAGATATAATAATATTTTTTGCATTGTAATATCGTAATGATATATATATATGGTCACTTTTGTTAGAGTTAGTTTACAAATACAGGGTATATATCAATAATTGACGGTGGTCACCATGTTGATGAATGTCCTTGTGTGTGTGCTCTCATGTTCCTGGCAGGGGAATCGAGAGAATTATGACGTTAGAACTCGATGGCACAAAAAATGGTGGACAGTGATCCAGAAAGACCTCGAGAAAGCGCTTCCGGACTCGGTGGACAATCTTTACCTTTACTTCATCCTATCTTTTTGATCTGATTTCACTCTTCCTTTTCAGGATTCTGAATATCTTATTTCTTGACTTACAACGGCATTTCCTTTCAAGTGTAATGGTCTACGAGTGATGTAGGGTTCATATTGTATATGCACATCTTTGAACAAGGCAAGTTAGACTCCACGATCGCCGTTGCAGAGCTTTCCGAAATTCGTAAGTTGCGTCACAAATTCGGGGCCCAATTTCTCGAATGGAAAGCTAAAGAGCCTTATGGCGGCTTGAACCGAAGGAACATAAATAGCAAACCCAAGTGCCTACCGTCTACTTGTGTCATCACGTGAATGCGATTATTACTGCATATAGCAGGGGTCGCAAGGCCAAAGTTTGTGGCAACCCGACGTCACTTCCGCCCATCGCGACGACAGTCAAACACACGAATAGAGGAAGAGAATACTGCGACACGTGGGTTTCGACGCGCCGGTTACCCGCAACAACGAGAGTCGCGACGGAATGGGCCGGAATGAGAACATTCCCTCGACTTCCGAGTTTCAAAACCCCTCCCAGAAACATCGCGAGTTCGCAATCCGGAAACAGAAGAAGATGGAGATTTGCGACCCGATCGCCTGAAAATAGAGACAAGAAATGGTGGAAGATCGCGAAAGTCTTCTTTCTGTCTGGCAGAGTGACCGCGTGTCTTGCTGCTGCTCTCTCTGTGCAGCAGAAGGGAGAGAGGGAGGGAGAGTCGCCGATGGATGATGATGGTCATGATGTTGCCGTCCGCGAGGAAGAAATTACGGGAAGACCGCAATTGCGCGCACGAAGGCGCAGCAGCTCGCATCAAGCTTGCCGTGTCGGCAGGACGGGACAAAAAGATGATCGCTAGATCGTAGCTTTGTCGCCCTGGAAATGCTTCGATTTCTGTGGTAGTGTTGGGAGTAGAGCAGTGGGCTTGAATGTTTTTGGTGTTGAAACCTCTCAAGAAACCGCGAATCGAGGGGAGTGAGAGGTAGGAGAAACTGTGCCAGAAACGGAGGGGTCGTTTGATAGATCACCTTCTTCGGTGGTAATTGGGATAGAGAATGGCAAGTAAGATGATGAATTCGGTGGTTGCCTTCTTCGACGAGCCGTTTGCTGATGCGGTGGTATTGGGTTTCAAAATTGATGGTGAGGTTTTTTAATCTGTGAGTGTTTAGAAGTATCCTCTTAGGGCGGGTTTCTTTTCTCGTGGATCTTCTCAGGCACATGGTGTGACGGGCACCCGAGATCTTTGATTGCTCAAGCTGGCTCATATGTCTTGCAATCACTGTGTACAGGACATTTGCTGGTAGAAGCAGTTCTTATTGCTGCCATCGTCTTCCTGCTGATGCAGAAAAGTTATCAACCCGAAAAGAAACCCCTCACGCAAAATGTGAGTTCGTTTCTTGTGCAGTGGCTATCAGCTTTGGAAGTGACTGCTTTCAGGAATGATGTGTCGTTGGGAAGAGCTGTAAGTATAACCATTTTTGGTTGTTGTCCCGAATTTTTCTTTCCGGATTATAATTGTTTTTGCGGACATGACAGGAAATTGACCAATTGTGCGATGAGTGGGTCCCTGATCCTTTGCACCCTCCTATCACCGAAGCAATGCAAGCGAAAGTTCCAGTCTTGGAAAGGTATTCGCCTTGGAGGCGTATCAGCCGGGTTGGATTTTCCTTAGTTCTTCCTTCGCACCACATTTGTGGGTGTTTTGATGCCAGCCCAGTTTATCTGATTCCTTCGGTCAGTATCTATATAAGGTTTTCTCGTTAATGTATGAGAGTTCTTTATTGGGTACTTGCTCAGAATTTGATGTCGTACGCGACTTTCAATATGATGAGTCATGGTCTCAGGAAGATTCTCCAGATTCGCGTTTGTGAGGTTCTATGCTTTACGCCCCACTAAGACTAAAAAGTATGAGTGGGAATTACAGTTTTGGCGACTTAAAGGGTGAATAAGTCTTTCAGTACTCTTTTTCTAATGGAGTGAAGTTTGGATGTGGTAGTGCCGCAGGCCCTCACACAATTGTTGCCGGGAAGGATGTTCTAAACCTTTCGTGTGCAAACTATCTGGGTCTAGTTGGCCACCCAAGAGTGAAGGTAATTTTATGCTCATGAATGAAGGATGGTAGCAGGAAAGAAGTAGTACAAATATGAATCTTTCCTTCCTTTTTTTGAAGTCAAGTGAGGTGGGAGATTTTGTTTACGGCATAGCGAAGTTGAACACCGAAATATTCTTTCATGAACATAGGCAGGAAGATCTTTTTGTTTTTGCATTTTCTGACTTTGTGTGCATGATGAGTTTTGACCCTGGGGTTTTCATTAGAATATAAGCTGCCGGAGATTTGTAAATGGTTTGTTTTTCGGTCTGTATTACAGGAAACTTGCAATTCTGCCCTTAATAAGTATGGGGTTGGTGCTTGTGGTCCTCGTGGGTTCTATGGAACAATAGGTAACAATTGTTTCTGTTTGACTTCGTGCGGTCGTAATGTTCTTTCGCTAATGTCCTATATTTTTTCCAATTCCAATTTATCTGTAAATCAAAAACTTAGCAGTACTTTTCCTAAGTGATTTGCCAGCTTAGCGTCGTGTATTTAGTGGATATGTTATTGAAGTTCTTTCTAGTATTGCCCCCCTCGTGGATAAGCTATTTTGCAAGATGCTTAATCTCGAAATTTTGTTTTTTTCAGATGTGCATCTTGATCTGGAGGCCAAAATAGCACAGTTCTTGAAGACTCCTGATTCCATCCTTTATTCTTATGGTCTTGCCACAATTGCAAGTGTTATTCCCGCCTTTTGTAAGCGGGGAGATCTCATACTAGCGTAAGCTTTGTCACTTTCCCGTATTCACATGGCTTGCTTGGTGGGAGACAATGCGAGCTTTAAAAATTTGGTTCTGATTTCCAAGTCATGTGTCATGAGTACAGGAATTCTCTTGTCTGTCCGCTTCGATTTCCATCTCTGGTTTAGAGTCACAGCCATTTCATTAGGCAATTTGATTTACCCCCGTCATATTTCATAGGGATGAAGGTGTTCATTGGGGAATCCAGAACGGGCTCTACTTATCTAGAAGCACTGTGAAACTCTTCAAACATAATGATATGAAACATCTGGAGTCTCTGCTCGAGGAAGTTTTCCGAGAAGACAAGCGCAAGAAGAAAGCATTGAATCGTCGCTTTATAGTTGTTGAAGCTATTTACCAGGTATCATATATGAGGAGCGTATGATCCAAAGGGGAGCGTCTGATCCTTCTTTAGTTTCTATTCTCTCTTGCTCTTCTAAATACATGAGCTTAATAATCTTACAAACCTATTGAAAAGTAGGTGAGCGTGATCCTTCATCCTCGTTCATACTTGATTCTGAGTTGATTGTGCAAATGTTTCTGTATTCTGGTAGAATTCAGGTCTTATGACGCCTCTAGATGAAGTTATTCGTCTGAAGGAGAAGTACAAGTTCAGAGTTCTAGTTGACGAGAGCCACTCTCTCGGTGTACTTGGAAAGACAGGCCGTGGTATTACAGAACATTTCAATCTGCCGGTGTGTTAATTACCTTCCTCTACCATATTAGCGCTTTTGCACATGGTTTCTGTTCTCCGTGAAGCGTCTTTCACCTCATCTTCGTTGTGGCAGTCATTTATTGAGTTTCTTTCACTTGTGGCAGGTTGAAAAAGTTGACATTCTAACTGCAGCCATGGGGCATGCCCTGGGCTCTGTTGGAGGATTTTGTACTGGAAGTGCCAAAGTAGTGGACCATCAGGTTCGTGAAAGGAAAACTGTTCCTCATATTTTCATGTCACGTGTAATACTGTTCTGAGTGCCATCACCGCATTCGAAACACATTCGTGCTTCTTGTCGTCTGTGTGCTCCTTGATATGAATACTACATGCAGTTTCTCCTTACTATCGAGAATTAAATATTCGTGAACAGCGTCTCAGTGGTGCAGGTTATTGTTTCTCAGCATCGCTGCCTCCTTATTTAGCAAGTGGATCTATTGCCGCCATTGAAATTATTGAGGAGAATCCAGATCTCCTAGTTAACTTACGGAGAAACATCATCACTTTTCGCAGATGTGGGTCTTCTTGCAGCTCTATCTTTGCTCTTTTCCTCTCTTGTTCGTAGCGAATGATTCTGAGTAGGCTTTTATTAGACGGACATTAAACTATGTACTGCTTTATACCTGCAGCCCTATCGAACATTCAGGAAGTGGTTGTAAGCGGTCACAATTTCTCGCCCCTTATATTTCTCCACCTGAAGACTCCAAGTTCACCAGATGTTGATGGACTTCTCCTCCAGGAGATTGCCGACCAGGTGGATGAATCCCTTACGCCACAATTTTGTTTCAACCTCACCCACCTAGCATGTTAGAAACTGCAATATTTTGCAGTTTCTAACATGCTAGGTGGTAGGTATTAATATCAGGATGCTGCGTCATGAGAAGCTCCTAGCTTTACAATTGCACGGTGGTTCTCCTTCTGTCGATTATCAGTCAGCCGTAGGTTTCATGTATTAGGAGGCAGGTTACTGACAGGATTTGTGGTTACTACAGATGCTCGAGAAAGAATCTGTGCTCATAAGCGTGACCAAGCGTTCTTTCCTGGACAAATGCAAATTCCCCATCGGTCTACGGCTCACTGTTTCAGCTGCACATACAGAGGAAGAGCTTCATGCAGCAGCCGGATCATTGCAACGTGTTGTACAGATTGTTTTACAACAGCGATGACCTCTGCTTGTGCCTTTTTTGAGAATTTTCGCCTTATGCTAGATGAAAAGGTTGAGCAGTGCAAGCTGATCCAAAAGAAATGTGTTTTAGATCCTGTATCGATCGGCTGAGAAAAAACTTGGTAGTAATGGAGGAAAGTCAAAATGGTCTTGCCATTCAAGGCCCTCGTTGTGTAAATTAATTGAAGGTGGTAGGATGATAAAGATTAAAGTAAATGCAGCCAATTTCTTGTTAATCAATGTCACTTTGGCACTTCTTTCTCTTCTTCCGAACGTAGTTTAGCATATAATAAACCAACAGGGTTGGTGTGAAAGAGAATTTGGTCTTTGTAGATCCTTCGAAGCTAGTCACAATATGCTCGCCCGGGGTTCCAAATCGAGAGTCTTCTCGATTCCTTGGGATTCTCACGTTACAAGGACGTCACCTTGTGTAAACCACCTCTCCTTGGAAGTAAATGTACTTCTATTCCAAAATCATAGTGAGCAATTGATTTTCTCATCGTGTATGAATCCAAGCTTGCCCGGAACTGGTCTAGTGATTTTTTCTAAAGACACTGAGAAGAGTCACCATTGTTGCACGAGTGTACATATATACAGTTGAGGAATTTCGAAATTTGGACGAAAGATCTGGGGTTCCGACAGTGGCACGTGAAATCCCAAACTAGGCTGCCACATTTAGAGAATACACGAGCCGGAGTGTCCAGCCGGACAAAAATTGCTCTTCTTAGAGGTCACTTACAGGTGCTTTACATATTCCTTTAATATGTAGTAATATGTCCAAAGAACATCAGCATTTTGTACAGCCTGCCCGTATAACCCTTTTAATGGTGCAGTTGCGACAGTATGGAACTCAGGCTGTAAGTCCATCAGAGTATTTCAGTATCTAGCAATTTTGTCCTAGATTTTGTAAAAGACAGACTCCAAAACACCTTAACGACAAAGCCATTTCTAATCAAAAGAAGAAAACGTCTTTTTTTGCTTTCGTCTTACTGAGATTGCGTTCATATGGGCAGTCAATATGGATCCTCTAACTTCCGAGGACAAATGACCACGCCATTTACTTTCAGTACATCAAATATTTGAGATCCAATGCCAAGTCTTCTATTCTCTCATAATCTAATACATACAGTAATTCCAGCCCATGGCTTTTTTAGGTTCATTCGGAGCTTTGGCAAGCAGTATTGGGGGTGTTATGTGCATGATCCCTTTTACGGGAGGCGGAACCCTTCTCTGTTTAGGCTAGGACATGGTGCCCCAGAACACATCGTACACAAAGAGAGCTCTCCACTATTTAGATTCAAAACTTCTACTGTTTCAAATAAAGTTTTTCTGAAAACTGAAAGGTTTTGAACCCGATAATACATATCTAGCCCGATTCATGTTCGCCATAACATGGGTTCTGCAGATATTCTGTTCTTAAAATTAGAAGAATGCGAGTTTCATTTTTTGGTTAAATAGTCAATGAGCACATATTGATGAAATGTTTGAGGACATATATTGTATGACATGTCTATATTGATCAAATCTAATGATAGAAAACGCATTTCATTTGTCATTATTGTGATCAGTCAGAAATTTCAATTGCACACTTGCAATGAGACTCGAAAAGTGTTAATAATCGATGATAGTTTCAATAAAATTGAATAAATCTTGTGGAAAATGTTAAAATATATTTCAACGATGGCACTAGCTTTCTATGACACAAAACCAGCGATTTTAACTAAAACTTTGTATAAGTGAAAATAAAGTCACCTAGCTGAATCACGATTTCACGTACTGTCTGTGTGAGATTTCTTGCAGAATTATCTTATAAATTGATAACAGAGCAGCGATGGTAGGGCAATGATGGGAGCGAAAGCGGCGAACGAGGCTGGCGAGCGTTGTGCAATGGAGGCGGCAGGAACTAGGCAGGGAGGCCGGAGAAGCGCTCAGACCGCGGAAGCGGAGTTGTCCTGACGTTTAGGGACGAGAGCTTTCGATTGTTGCTGTCACCCTTTCGATTGTTGCTAAACCTCTCGTCCGCAGTGACAGAAAAGCCGGACGCCCGTGCGTGCAGTTGGAGGTGCGGGTTTGAGCCTTAGCTCAAACCCGCACTGAGCTAAGGCTGTTGATCGCCTTTAAAACATTGTGACATTGAGGTCGATGGACATCATACATAGTTGAGAAGTACAAGATAAGAAGAAGAGTCTTTGTTGACGTCAAAAAAATTCACAAGCATGGGACAGTGAGAATTGGATTCACATTTTGATCCGTGCTCGAGACATTACATACCTGATCGGTTATTGTGCGAGATACATTTGCAAATATTTTATTTATCAAAATATTTTACATCTTGCCAACAATTGAATTGTGATTACAATTTATAAATATTTTGACCTCAATTATCAATTCATATGAAATAAAATTTCTTGTAAAAATATTGAGCTATTGATAATTTACATTAAGTTATCGAAAAGTATTGATAAATATTATATAAAACAATGTTATATTATTTATGAATATATGATTCTATGCAAATTATTAATAAATTTTTTTTAAGTAAAAACTATATTACATCTATATGGTTGGGTTTAACTCCCATTAAGGATCAACCTCATGTGTAATTATATATAGCTGCGATTGTTCGTCTACTTTGGGTATATATACCTTGATGTTTATGCGGACAATGTTACGTTTTTAACTGAAGTAGTAAACTCTTTCAAGTGTATTACTCCGTGAAAGTAGCCCTTGAGAGTGAATCACATTATACGAGTGTCTTCTTTATCTCTCGTGTTGTTGGCTTGCTCAATGTGATCTCGAGTTGTACCGTTAGAATTTGTATCAGAGCCGATTCCGGTTCAAACTCTATGTTAGAGTGTTTTTTCTAACAGTGGTTACATGTTTTTTTTCCAGTTTGGAGACTTAGTGTTCTTAGGGTTTTATTTCGGAGTCTGTAGTCAGTTAAGTGATTAAATTTGTGTCTGTTGACGGTTTTGTTAGTGACAATTTCCACTGAGGGTTGTCTTAAAAAAGTTTTATGAGACAAGAATTTACTAGACAGTTTTTTATTTCTGTCTATTGGTTTCTGAAACGAGTCGACAGAAATATTTTGTTTTTTGACGGTCAAGGTTTTGTTAATTGTTTTTTGAATTTGTGACAGTTTTATGACTTTAATGCAAACAGATTTGAGGGTGATAGTTCTTGGACGAGCTGAGCTGATCTGACCTGAACTACATGGCAACAGAGGAAGTTAGAGAGACTCATCCAGTTTTTGTTGGACAAGTTGCTGATAGGACTGACGACGAGTAATCAATTTGTTATTTAGGGTTTCAGCGAGAGGTTTCTGGAGGTTCGAATGAGTATTCAAGTGAGATCGAGAGCGGCGGATCCTCCCCCGCGCAGTTTGCAAGAGCGGCAACCCTTCCGCAGTCGTGGTTGGAGTCGGCGTGCCAACCGTGATCGGCAGTGCAACGTAGTCAACGGCCGACCAATAAAGACAAGGACGGCGGAAACCAACGGTGTAGTTCGGGACAACAATGAAGACATATTTTGTCATAAATATGTATTAAAAATATTTTTTCATTGGAGTCTAGGAAAATTGAATATTGTTGGAAAGCTCTCGATGCAAATAGTGCATCTCGACATTTCTCAAGAGCTTAACAATGACTCAAAAGAAGGAAATTGACTTGAAAGCTGACATTGTCTCTCCTTTTTGACGTGAAGATTTGCCAGGGTGAAAGGTCGGTGGCTATTTTGGATATAACATATTACCTTTCGATGGCCAAGGTGATTATTTGCTTTGGAAAAAGCAGGTATGAGTGAAGTTACAATAAATGGATCTCACTATATGCTTGGAAAAACTTCTCAAATAAATGAGATTGAATGGAGTGTTGCTTAGGACCTGACAATTTCCACGGTGTTGACATTCCTAGACCATACCATATCAAAGCAGGTTAAAGAATACTTTGAAGTTTTAAAGTTGTTTGATGCGTTTCAACAACGGTTCCATTAGAAAAATACGTCAAATGTCATAAACACTTAAATGTGATTGCTACGATTCATTATGAAACCCAGCTCAAGAATCCAAAACCATATTCATGGCTTTGAAAATGTATTGATGGATCTTTGAAATATGGAATATGAGCTTCATGACATAAAGAAGTCAATGCATCTTCTTCACTCATTGCTGTTTATTTATCAGACGCTATCAAAGATTCTTCTTCATTATTAGAACACAACACTCACTTACAACGAGGTTGTAAGTGATCTTGTGATGGACACAGTGAAGCAAGATTTGTTATCCCCTCCATCCCATCCACTTCTGAGACAACACTTATTATGACCCAAGGTCAATCACAATCGAGAGATTTCAACAATTCACGGCGTTTGAGATTGAAGAGGGAGAAATCAAAATCTCTTGAGCAAAGTAAACTCCAGTTTATGGCTGAGCCATTTGACAAGAAGAATGTTATTTGTTGAAGATGTGGGAAGATGTAATGACAGATAAATACCAAAATGGAGCATAATGGTATAGATTCGATCCCACGAGTAAAGAAACAAACACAAAAGTCACGATTTGTCACAAGATAGCATTCTATTGCAAAGTTTTACTTCTTAGGCCAATGCTACTCCCAGAAGACACTACTCAGCTAGAGCCGAAGACTCACAGGGTAGCGCAAAACCGTACTCACAACCTGAACCTTTCCAATCAAAGCCTGTGAGAATCGCAAGCGACCCCACACTCATATTTCACGGGATAAACTTCCCAGCACTGCATAAATCTCAAAATACTGACCCGAATACTCAGACCTGAACTTGCTTAAATCCCGCAGTAACCCCAGGCTACCCAAAACATCCAAACTGAATACTCACGACTCCCAATGCGGTAACTTCGACAACCAGGAGCGCCCTAAGCTCGTAATCTGGATCACACTCTAGCACCTAGACACACAGAGAAGACAGAATGACAGTTGAGACAAGCCAATAGACAAAAAAGCCCCCCAAGGAAAGAGCCTTGAGCCTCTTTATTCACAATGGCAACTCTGGGATATCAACCGCCTGAGGCGAATCGGTCTAAAGGGCTGTGCTGTCCGATGTAACGGTTACGGCATCGTCTGAACTACTCTATACTCCTAATCTACGCAACACGTTTACAATCTCTACTTACACATTCTGGCGCGCTTCATTCAATTCCTCTGAAAATGAATTAACTAACTCTATAATCTGTTTGTGCCCTGCGGAAAAGCTGGACTTCGCGCTCATGAGTCGTCCCTCGAGTAGATTCAGCTTCAACCACTTCACCGCATCCAATCCCCACATCGCGAACCCGTTCAAGCACTTCTCTAACCGCAATCCCAACACGTCGGTTGAATCCTCCTGCAGCTGACGGTAGGCATCCTCTGCCTTTTGCATTCTCCTTTGCGGCTCTTCCGATCTCATCTCCGACTTCCCTAACTGCTCCCGTAAACGTCGACAGTCAGATTCAACCCTT